GGTGTGGTATTTCCAATAAATTTTATTTACAAAGTGGATGGCTGTAGCCATAGTTTGCCAACCTGGATATAAATATTACCTTCCATGCAAATGGTTTAACTCCATGCAAGGCAGAGATGGTCTCCTGGATTTTTTAAGGCAGCAGTATGTTCATTAAAACCTACTTTAATATAAAGGCCATTAAGTTAAAGTATAGAATGGGAGACACATTCTAATCTGTCAAAGAAAGCTGGCATGGCTATTTATTCACCCTCGACAAGTGACTTAGCACAGGAATGTACGGGGACAAAGAATGTTACATAATGCTATCGATGCCATGATTAAGAAATACATCTCAAATATGTACAGATATAGTAAAGATCCATTAATGAAGTTAAAAAATAATAGATTGGAAGGGGAAGCATACTCAACAACTTTTTCTTTCAGTAATTGCATAGACGTTTAATAATAAAAAAAAAGGATGCGAGCTTGAACACATATTATTCAATTGTCCTAATTTTAATTTAAAGGTATATACATTCCCCCCAACCACGATATTCAAGTACCCATTGAATTCCAACGATTTTCCAGGTATAAACTTACCATTAATTGTAATTTTGAAATCAGTTTTCATTATGTGAAATAGTACAAATACTTCACAGACTATAATGGAATTATGGCATCTAATAATAAGACAGGAAAGCCAAATCTTTAGAACTCGCACAATTTCTTTTAGGCAATGGGGTCAAAGATCAGTATCAGGGAATTGAAATTCTTGAACTTCATGAGGTTGAATAAAAATATTGGAGGATGGGAGCAAGCAATGCTTGTATGGGAAGTGTACGTATGAAAGTTCTATGGGAAAATACGAAGCTAAATCTAATGATGGAAACACCACTTTGAAATTTAAACGACAAATTAAATTCAAAGGGTAGAACAAGAAATGATGTAAAAGCGAAATCATTTATAAACCCATTTTCTTTATTTCCAGATCAATAAATTGACGTTTTTGACGTTAATCAAGAAATCAGACGTTGAGAGGATCATATGGTCTTTGTTTTTGCTTTTTTACGTGGTGGTGCATTACATTTATAGTTTGCGTTTGTCAGCCATTCCTGTTCTCTGGGATGAGCCATTTGGTCGTGATAGTTTATGTTTGTTGATAAGCACCTGAATTCGTTTGTTAATTTTTAAGAATTTTGATCTATATCATAATGATTTGTTGTTATCCTTTTCCCACTTATTTATGTATTGTCTATGGCTGCTTTTGCAGCCATAGGTACCCCTCCTTCCGCCCCTCGTCCACTGTATGCTTGTCTTCTTGCTTCTTTCCTCTAATTTCTGCTAGAATCTGTCTTTTCTGCAGAGGCACTCTGTCTGGCGGTGTTATTCGTCCACCATCGTGCTCCACCCCCTTGATTATTATATTCTTTTATCTTATTTTCTATTTATTATTTTTCTTTATGATATCCTTCTTTCTACTTCCTTTGGGTTTCCTCATTTTTTTTGTTTAGCCTATGTGATTAAATACAAAACTCATTTTTCTCTGATTTTTTTGTCATTTTCATAAACATATTTAAAACTATAGATTTTGCCTTCAAACACAGCTTCAGATACTCTGCATTAGTTTTGGTATGTTGTTCCTTTGTTGATATAAGATTTATTCATATATTATAATAGTTCATACTTTCTCTTTGATTTCCTTTTTAACACACATTCAGGAATGCACTTTTTAGTTTCCAAAGTGCTTATTTACTGTATTTTTTACTGATTTTATAATATGCCATGTCACAAAATATCTAAATTATATTTAAGGGTACCATGATATGAGAAACAATACTCTAATTTCTCAATACTGAGTTCAGAAAAATTTCTCCCTTGGCTACTTATCTGAAAGATTCTGCACAGAGAATTAACAAAGTAATTAGCAACATTCATATAATAAACCCAGGAATGAGTTTCCTTGGGGTGGTTCATACTATGTTCTTCAATAAAGCCTACATCAACTTTCTACATTGATTTTACACAAGTAGTTAAAGTGAGACTTTGTAACACAGTATTCTTTAATCAAGAAGTAGACTCTGAAACACAGAAGATTATGTTCTATAGATCTTAATATATAGGTTCTGCAGGTTGTATGTATTTAGGATTAATTTAAAGAGTACTTTCTTGGGTAATATGGCAGTTAGGAACAAAGGAACTGCTCCATAATCAATTCCCTGAGGATAATCCTAGAAGAAGGATCATCTTTGCTATGTTATTTTTTTCAAAGCAGAAGGAAAAGAGATTAATATAAAAGATAAAGTTAAAATGTTTCAAAAATAGGAAAACTAGGTACAAATTTCCCTCATGTAGCTTGCTTTTTCTTATTAAGGCTGCATCTTTCCGTGTGTGTAAGTGCTTTCCATTTGATCAGTTCTTTTCTTGTCTGTGTTCAGTGAAGGATTACAAGAGAGATGACTCTGTTACAGAAGACCTGGATTTCAGGGAGACTTTGCCTTCATCAAGTCAGAAAAAGAAATCAAAGGTAAGACTAAACGGAGAAGGACCTCTGCTAGTGGACTGTGGCTGATGCCTATATCACTGACTGAACTTTCTGGGGAATAGGTATCTATCTTGTTTTCCTCTCTAAACTGATTTCTCAATTCTTTGTCCCCCTGATGTTGAAGGTGACCAAAATAGGGATTTAAAAGAGTGGAACATATTACACTTCTAAAGAAAATCCCTTTCAATGCTTCTCTGAAAATTTTACTTATTTTGGCATTTATTTCATTTTGTGTTACAGAGACACAAAATAAATTTCACATGAAGTATGTAGCACCCTTAAATATATGGATGAATGGACTTTTTCATTGATAGAGATGGCATGGCACAGTGTCTCCAAACTGTGGAAAAGTAGAGGGCAGTAAAAATTCTGTGACAAAACCTCTACCCTCAACACTACCCTCCTTGTGGAGACACTGCCAGGGTTAGAGTACCAAAAAGGGACATGCATTTTCATCTTGTGGGTGCCTTGCATTTTTTTCTTTTATCAAGTCAAAGGAGCTTTGGAATGCCAAGCTGCTGTCCTCGCACTTGATTCCAGCAGCAACAGAGATAAAAGTCAGTACCAAGAACAAATGCTGTGCCCCTACTCCCCCAATTTAGCTGCCACCTCCACCCAAGGTGACCAGGCAGGAGTGCTACTTTTAAGAACAACATTGTAGCTTGTATATTTTCTCGTATAGGAGTGTATCCATTCCTCCTTTATACATAAGGTGGCCATATCAATGTCAACATTGCACCTCTGGCTGGCAACCTCTAGCTCTGAGTGCAGTGTTGGGTTCTCAGTCCGCTACTAGTGCTTTTCTCTGATCAGAATGATTTTCCACTTGAAGTACAGATGATTTGAAAATAAGCAGCTTCACAGAATGCCTCAAGTAGATCCTTTATATTATTTAACCTTGCTTGACTCTCTTCCAAAAGTGAATACATTTTGTGATTTTGTTTTTATTATTATTATTATTATTACTTGATTTTATGGCTTGGCCTATCTAGGATGAGTTTCAATATCTTTTAAAGTTTTCTTTTAGAAAAGAAGAGCTTAGAATATTCCTGGATGGTTTTTTAGAGCATATTGGGAAAATTAGCTGATTTTATCATAATTTGCTTTTCTTATATTTCATGAAGCCATTAATTTTGTAGCCACTTGATGTCCTTTCAGATATGTCCCCTGTCTAGACTCATAGACTTGTGGGTGGTTAGATTTGGAAGAAATTTAGAGAAATTTTTATTCTAACACTCATTTTAGTGATGGAGTAACTGAGCCCCAGAAAGCCAGAGTAATTTGTGCCTGATTATACAGCTTTTCAGTCACAGAGAAAAGACTAGAAACTAGGCTCTGAGTTCCCAGTATTGCTCTTTTCACTTGTCCTCATAAATCCTTGATGCACACAGTGCAACAAAGCTAACTTAGGCTCCTCGGAAAAAATTATCTTTAATTTGACATTAATTTGATTCAGTGAGCAACCTCTGAAAGACCTTGCATCTTTATAATTTATTGTATTTCTCCCTGTTACTTCTTGGTGTTGTTAGACAAATCACATCTCATTCAGTCAGAGGCATGCTAGAGTCCTCAGTGAGAGTTCAGTTTGAATGCAGCCATCTAGAACAGTTTGCTTCTTTGAAAATATAATCAAGTTGATTTTGAAGTGTGACTTTAAAGATGTTTCAGGTATGAATTGTGTTAGGAATTCTCACTCAGATGATGTCACTTTTTCTAAGTAAATGAGCTGTATCCAGATGACTTTTAAACATGACTCATAGGAGAGGGGAGGGGTCATGTGTGTGTAATAGCACTTTTCCACTTTTCTTCTATCCCATTTTATTCAAAATCACCAAATTCCAATTTTAATTATCCTGAAATTAATTTTTGGAGATTTGTTTTACCAATTAGTGTTGATAAAATAGTTTTCAGGACTAAGTCAACTCTGTAAAGCTCATTTCATTTAATGTATCGGTCAGCCATGTAGTTTAAGAAGAAGGAATCTTAAGGGGACATTTTCCTGAGATATTTCAAAGTAAAAGAATTAAATACATACCAAACAAACACTAACAATAGAGAAATGGGGTAGCTGTGGCATCATCAGACAAAATAGACTTACACGCAAAAAGCATTAAGTATTAAGAGGTCCCTATACAATGCTAAAAGGTTTAGTTCATAAGGAAGATAAAAGAATTCTACATTTATAAGTACCTAATAGCCTCATAATATGTAAATCAGTATTTGACAGAATTATAAGGAGGAATTAATAAATTTACTATGATATTGGGCTAAGATATATATCTCTTCTGCTAATAGATTAGACAGTTGGTTAAGAGTATAGGAAATATTTTTTAAAATTGGCAAGGTGGCATATATATATATGAACATATATAGAACTTAGAAATTAGATAGCATACATTCTTTTAGAGCATACATGGATCATTTATAAAAATTTACCATGTACTAAATTATAAAGTATATCTCAGTTAATGTCAAATAACCTTTATAATACTTACTGTGCTTTCTGACATAAAAGCAATTCAGTAGAGGAAAATCAGAAAAAGTGAAATATACATTTGGAATTTAAAAACACACATTTCTATACTCATAGTCAAAGAAGTAATAATAATGTAAATTTAAAGTATTTAGAGTAGAATATATATCAAAATACTAGATATAAAAACTTGTGGTTTGCTGATTGGGCAGTGCTTAGTAAATATAATCATCTAATCTATATCATTACATTTATAATGTTCTCACCGACAAAATATCTAAGGACAATTGTAAGAAAATATGTGAATTTTCTTTATTGAGAATATTACATCAATACTTTTAATGGACAGCTATATCATATTAATGGATAATAAGACTTAATATTATAAAGATATCAGTTATTCCCAATTTAAATTACAAAATTATTTAACTTAATTTCAACAAAAACCCCAAAGTATTTTTTGTGTGTATGATATTTGATCAACTGATTGAAAAACTGATTTGAGAAAACAGAAGGCCAAGAATAGGCAAGACAATATTAGAAAAAGAAGAAAAATGTGTGTGTATGGTGGATGGGTGACTGGCACTGCAAGTTATTAAGATTTTATAGAGTTATAAAAATTTAGAAACTGTAGTAGCAGAATAGGAATTGGCAGATAAGACTGATGAAACTGTATAGAAAGTACAGTAAAAGACCCATGCATACATGGGAACTTTGTATGTGACAGGTGGCATTGCATATTGGTGATAGAATGGTTTGCTTAGTTGATGGTGCTGGTTATTTCAATAGGAAAAATAAAACTGTATTAGTACCTGCAGGTGAAAGCTAACAAAATCTTTTCTTCTCTGTGGGAAAATGATTTTCTTAGTCTTCTAGTCAGCTGTGTTGGCAGGCAGTATTGGTTATGGTAAAATGACTCCAAGACTGGAAAGGCTGTGATTAGAATGATGAATTTCTTATTGAAAGTACAAATGGGGTCTTCTCTGAATGGGGGAAGTCCCTTGCTGCAATTCTCAGAGGTTAGAGTCAAGGGTTGTTATGAGAGATGCCAGGCCCTGTTCAGCATGCAACTTCTAAGCCAGAGTGACTCTTACACTTACCTATGTGGTCTCACTCTCTTACATCTGAGCTGATACTAAGTTTCTTCCAGTGATGCCTGTGCCTAATGCTGTCCTACTATTATGTTGTGGCCCCTCTCCTATATCTTTCTGTAAAGCTCACCGGTGCCAGGTATAGCCTATTGGATCTTGTGAATGTCCTGCTGAATGCAAGATCACTGTTGGGGGTTGAGCAGAGAAAGCAAGGTACACTGTATACCAAAAGTGATTCTAGGTGGGTTAAATACTCAAATAGGAAAAGCAGAACTTAAAATTTTAGAAAAATATATAGAATAATTGATATTTTTTGGCTCAGCATGGAGAAGGAATTTTAAAAATTTATATTTTATATATTATTTTAAATGACAATTAGGATTTAATACATACTGTAATGGTAATGCTATTGCTAAAATATGTTAACTTTATATTTCAGAAAATGCTTATTCATGTTAGGCTAAAAACATAAGTTATATGTTTTGATTTATTACAGCAAAACTAATATGTTTGATTAGAGTGTCATCTTTCTTTTAACATGCTTATTTTAAATAATGACTGTGTGTGGGTCCATATTCTGGAAGAATGGCTGTATTTATGTTTGCACGAGGCATCCAGGGCTAAGAAGTCTTGTGGAATTGAGTAAAACACACACACACACACACACACACTAGCAAGAAATGAAAAGATTAATAAATTTTACAAAATTAAAATTATCACCGAGATACTTCAAAAAGATAAATATGGGGCCTAGGTCGTGACTGGAGATGCTGTATGAGAAACAGAGGCATGAGGTAAGGTGGACAGTTGGACAGAGGCTAGACCATGGAAGGGTGCAAGAACTTTGTATCTTCTTTGTGTTTTTACCCAGAATGCCTCCCTGTGCCTTTGTCTTTCTTCTTCCTTTTCATCTTTTTTTTTTTTTTTTTTTTTGAGACAGAGTCTCGCTTTGTTGCCCAGGCTAGAGTGAGTGCCGTGGCGTCAGCCTAGCTCACAGCAACCTCAAACTCCTGGTCTGGAGCGATCCTTCTGCCTCAGCCTCCCGAGTAGCTGGGACTACAGGCATGCGCCACCATGCCCAGCTAATTTTTTATATATATATCAGTTGGCCAATTAATTTCTTTCTATTTATAGTAGAGACGGGGTCTCGCTCTTGCTCAGGCTGGTTTTGAACTCCTGACCTCGAGCAATCCGCCCGCCTCGGCCTCCCAGAGAGCTAGGATTACAGGCGTGAGCCACCGCGCCCGGCCCCTTTTCATCTTTTTGGTACATGGCAGTTATCTATAACATACTTTATTTGCTACCACATTAACACCTGTCACTTGTAATGACTTTTATGCTTGTTTATTATCTATCTCCCTGTGAGAATATATACATTCCACAAGGGCAGACCACTTGCCTCCCTTGTTTACTATTTTGTATTCAGCACTTAGAATAATGTCTGTACATACTGGGCTCTCAGAAAGAATGGTCAAATGAACAAGTACATTAATTGAAGTAGAACTGAGGGCTATTAATTACTGAATATTTATTTTAATGGGACTTTTTTCCCTCTGCTTAAATTTGATGTTGTTCACTATTGAGTCAGATACAGTACAAGAGGTTGCAAATGTATCAAAGTGGACTGCATTGGGTAGTGCAAAATCTCATGGTGGGGACTTATTTAGAATTACTGAATTAGATGGTACAAGTACTAAAAAAAGACAAATATAGTGCTAGGAATTTTATATTTGTAGTAAACTAAATGTGGTAAGCACTAATTATAAGTATTTCCTCTGGGCTGTAATAATAAACCTATTTTTTTTTAAATGGAACTGTAAAATTCACTTGAAAAATAAATTGAGTGGTTCAATTGATTTTTGATAAATAAACAGAGTCTAGATAATACTCTAGACTCTGTTTTGACAGATTAGAGAATTTTTAATAGGGAGATATATATTTTGAGTGATTTTCTAGGAGTAGAAGTTAAATTATGTGATTATGGTTTTAATTACATTATTGTATACCTTATTGTTCTTTTTAAGAATCTGTTGAAATCATATTTCTTTTAAACTATATTTCCCTAAAAGCGTGCCTTTCTTATGCCTATAGGTTTTGGGAAATGAAGCTAACTCAAAGAAGGTAAAAAAACTCTCTCTTCAGAAAATCCCACATGATAACTATGAGTATTCTTCTGAAGAGGCTTCAGAAAGGTATAACTAATATGCTTGCTCAGTGAATTCTCTGTTTATGCTCCTTATATTCATAGGTAGCCACTGAATGGAGACAGCGAATTATGGCCTCAAATGTTTGATTAACTTTTCAAGATACAGCTTTTTGCAAACCTGATCTAGTTTGCTTAGAAATATGATGTATTTATGATCTCACAAATGTGACAATTAAGAAAAAAACCATATTCTTGAAGGATTTAATTTTTCTATCATTTCAATAGTTATACAGCTTCAAAGCCTTTGCAAATGTGCTCGTAGCTCTTGGAGGGGACAGTGTACTTAAATTTTATTAGCAATTCATTCTGTTTTCAGAAAGAAAATGACACGCTAGAAACAATAGGACTATTAGTGTAGTGAGTTCTTGGTATTATATATAAAAAAATAGTACTAAAGAAAAGTAAATTTCCATTAGGAAAACAAAAGAAACAGCAATTTCATGCTTACCTTGAAATTGAGGTATTATAAGCAAAAACTTATCAAATAAGGAAACATTTTGTTAAGCCATATTTTCTTAGAGATTTATCAGTAATATTATCTATACTCACTGGAATAGCACTATATAAAAATGTACATATTCTTTTTATTGTGTGTTATATACATGTGTATGTATAAAATTTGTATATACGACTTTCAGAAGTGCATTAAGTGAACAAATAAATAATAGTAATTTGAATGGGATTTTGAGATTCTGTTAATACATACTAAGCACTGTATACCAATACAAAATATTACATATTTCTTGCTCTTTAGTTCACAGTTTAATTTAGGGAAACAGAAGTATAAAAGACAAATTTAAGTACAATGTAGTAAATATTATTTTAGTGTCAAAATCCAAAGACTGTGAGTACAGAAGACATCGAACTATGCATGAGGGGAGTTTCTCATTAGCTTCTTTGAAGAAGATCTATTTTGATTGAATTTAGGATTTAATTAAATAAAAACCTAGCAGGTTAAAAGGAAAGAAAGAAAATTTCATGCTGGGGGAAGAAGTCTGAGCAAAGGCAAGGAGCTGTGGAAATATTAATGGCGAGAAATATTCGGTGTCAAGAGTTGTAGGGTACCTGTGAGTTGGAATGCCAGGAAGCTGGAGGAGATGAAAGCTAGAGCCAAAAAAATAGTGTGGGCTAGCCTGTGAAGGAACTCAGTATATGTGAAGCTGAGCATGCGTTTTATTCAGTCTGTTAAAATGAAAGTGAAGCACAGGTAGAGGCTTTTTGTTTTATTCAGGCATCTATGTGTCTCTCTATCTGATCTACCTATTATAGAAGGAGGATTGCTGGTAGGAAGGCAAGGATAGCTGAGAGTGACAGGATATGAAGACCAATTAAATGTTTACAATAATCCAAGAAAAGAGAAGGAGAAAAGAAGAAGAAACCTGAAAACCCACAGAAGTAAAATAAAAATGCATTTATTTTGCTGAGGTCAAAGCATAATAAAGTGCATGCAGGAAATTAATAGAAATGATGAAAAAGGCAAGGGCCAAATGGACAACATCCTAAACTTGATTGGGATCTGAGAAGGTGGGGACTTGATTTATCCTGAAGGTGATAGGCAGTTGTAATTAAATTTGTATTTTAGGAGAATTTTCTCTAGACATTGAATAAAGTCAAATTAGGAGGCTTTTGCTAAGTGGGGCTGTGACTGAAAGTGCAACAATGGCCAAGTAGGTAGCATTAGTGAGTGAATTGAGAAGGGAGAGGTTGGAAAGGAAAACAGAAAGTGAGTATGGGCTAGTATTTGAAAATCTGTTAGCAGTTACTAACTAGACGGAGGGAGAGAGTTTAAAGGGTTTCTTATTTTTAAGATGAGAGACAACTGAGTGAGTATTCTTATGATATGAAATTATTTGGAGATAGGGAAAGATTCATTATATATTTAAGAAAAAGATAATATACAGAAAAATGTTTCCAAGGAGGCAGAAGGCATGGGGTCGAGAGCATGGAAAGGCTAATTCTGAACCAAGGAGAAAGCAGGAAATAATGAAGACATTGATGCATTTAGGTAAATGTTTTAAAATAAGTAACTTGAAAGAGTTCCTGCTTTCTGACTTGCATTTTTTATAACAGAAGGGGCTGCATTTCTACTAAGGCAGAGGATTAAGATAAGGACTTCAAGAGGGTGGTGTCATGAAATTATTAATAGTTGCCATGGAGAAATGGTAGAGGAAACCAGCCAGGGATACACCTATACCTTGTTTTCCAAATGGCTCTCTGCTGATATTAGAAATCCCAGCCACTCTAGTACTTCTCACCCACAGCCTAGGTAAAGGAGGAGAGAAGGTGAGTAGGTGCATGGATTTGAGGTGACTAGTTTGCAAGCCAGGTAAAAGTGGGAGGAGATGGAGTTTATGATCAGACATTGGGATTTTGGAATTATCTCAGAAGTGAGCCAGTTTCGGGTGATGACTATGGGAGTGGGAGGCTGAACTGAAATGGAGGTATCGATTGAATAATTAATAGAGATTATCAGGGATTCTTTCTTAAATGTATATATTCTTTGAAACCATGGAAAATATATATCTTTCTTTTCTAGTGAGAGTGATCACAGTGTGTGGACTCCTCATGGCTCCCTAGGAAGAGACAGGTGGAGCAGTGAGTATGGTGGTTCTGCAGGACCATCTCAGACTGTCTCCCCTCTGCTTTCTGGTATGACATCATCCTATTTGGAGGAGCAAATTTGGGAAGGGCTCTATTTTAGGGATATGCACAAAGATATTTCTAATATGAATGAAGGAAAGAACTAGGAAAAACTTTTTAAAAATGGGAAAATGTGTTTTCTAGGATTTTTTTTCAATAAAGAAAAATATTCCATATTTCACATTCATAAAGGCAAATTTCTGCCCTTTTTCAAGTATTTTAATGGATCAAACATGTCAATTTAATAAAATGATCCACTTGAATTTTCTTAAACTGGAAGTTATAGATTTCTATAGATTTGAAAAATATGACCTGCTTCCTCATTTCCTTAAATTAATTTGTTGCAAAATATATACTTTGTAAGTAAAATAACTTTTTTTGGATTACAAATAGTCACATGTTTATAGGGGGAAAGGAAAATAACACTGAATAATATCCCCAAATTTTGTGTGTATGTGTATTTATATTTACATAAAATATGAACATAGCTATGGACATATGCTTAATATATATATATGTATATATATATATAAAATTTGTGTTTGAAGTTGAGGAATCACATGTACACCTTAAAAACCTTGGAGATGGAGAGGATTTTAGAGGTCATCTATTCTATCCTCCTATCAAGTATTGGAATTATCTTGTCTAATGACTTTTTTATTTGAAAAATGTCAAATCTAATTAGGACAGTATCATACTATGTAATTATTAAAATTCAGGTCTCATATAAAAATAGTTTACAAGAACATACTTTTATAAACTGAGGTGTAAATTATATACCCAGTAAAATTCACCCTTATAACATACGGTTCTGTGAGCTTTGACCAAAGTTTACCACCACAATCAAGGTATAGTACACTTGTATCAATGCCCACCATACCTCCCACCCCAGAAATTTCTTTTGTGTTCTTTGTGGTCAGTCCCTAACCCCACCACCAGTGCCTGGCAACCAGTAATCTGTTTTTTTTTCTCTTTACTTTTGTATTTTTTTCTCAGTGTCATATAAATGGAATCATAAATATGTAGCCTTTGAGTCCAGCTTCTTTCACTTAGCATAATGCTTTTGATATTCATTTGTGTCATTGCATTTATAAGTATTTAATTTCTTTTTTTGCTGAATAGTATTCCATTGCATGGCTACACCAGTTTGTTTATTCATTCACCAGTTGGAGGACATTGGGTTTCCATATTTTGGCAATTATGTGTAAAAGTCTGCAAACATTCAGATACTAGTATTGTGTAAACATAAGTTTCCATTACTTGCAGGTAAATATCTAAAAGTCGGATTGCTGGGCCATAAGTGTATACTAGACAAACTGTTTCAAAGAAGCTGTACCAATATTACTGGTTGCTTTTTACTACTTTTTTTCCTTCTCTTTTTTGCCTTTGTGTTACAGTTAAGGTCATTTTCTGTCAACCTATCTTCAATTATTGATTATTTTCTTGGCTGTGTTGAGTCCACGAGTGAACCCATTGAAAGCATTCTTCATCTCTGCTACTGTGTTTTTGTATATAACATGTCCACTTGTCACTGTCTTATCAATTGTGTCTACATTCACATTCCCGATGTGTTCATGCATTTTGTCCACATTTTTCACAAGAGCTCAAACATGTTAATCATAATTATTTAAAGTTCTCCTTCAGATAATTCTGACAGATGGATTGTTGCTGATTTCTTTCTGTTGATTGCCTTGTTTATTGACAGTGGTTTCATTGTTTCTGCTGCTGCCGCTGCTTCTTTGTGTCTCATAATTTTTGATTGAGTGTTGGTGTTGGGTATAGAAAAGTAGAGATTGAGGTAAATAGAATTTATGCCTAGAAATAGTCATGCCTATTCCTCTGGTTGGCCATTAGTACAGGTTCTTGATTTAGTGTATTTAGGACATGAGCTGGATTTTGGTTTCGTATTGCTGTCATTACTTACAGTGAACCACTGGCTTAGAACTCTTCAAGAATTAATTGTGCTTTGGGCAGCAGCTGGGGTTCTAGAGAGTTTGTCTTGACCTTCCTGTTCCATCAGCTTTAGGCCTTCCCTGTGTGCCTGTGCTTCGTCAGGGCTGCCTCTCCTTGCCTTTCGCCAGCAGGGAACTGGTGCTGCCTACATGGCAGGGAGGGCCGGGCGTTCTTTGTCGTCCCAGTCCAGTCTCAGCCTTAGGCAGGCCCTCTGTTCCTGGTTCTCGGTGGTGGGGCTTTGTCGCTGATCCTGCCCCTTCTCGTGGCATCTGCACGCTGCCTTCTACCTTTGGTAGGTCCACTGTGGGAAAGGGTTTCCTGCTCCATGCTTAGTGCAGTGGTAGGAGGTCTGTGATAGCTCTGGCGTGGAACCCTGGGCTCAGGACTGTTTCCTGCCCCTCCTCCAGGAGCAGAGGGGTTTTGTCTGTTCTTTTCCTGTTGCTCTTCCTCCTGCAGTTTAAGGCTTTTATTCTATGGGGGAGATAGGTCCAGGTGGGGCTTTAATGCATTTTCAGTGATGGCATAGGTCCTCTCCTCCAATCCTACCTACAATCCTACCGGAGGGAACAGTTCTTCCCATCTGCTCTGCTCCTAGTCCTTCTTATGAGGACCCACTGGACATGTGTGAAGGTGAGTCTGCAGATGTGTTTGTGTCTGTGGCACTTGCTGCTCTGCACTGTCTCGTGTTCCCACCCCAGTCATCAGCAACAGGTGAAGTTTTCCATCTGAATCCTCCTTTCCCATCTGTATAGTGCCTGGCATCTCTTTCTCCTTTGAGCTGCCACACGTGCACCAGTGTTCATGCCTTGTCCTTAAATTTCACACTATTTGGTTGCCCTGCAACTTTAGCTTTCTGATGGGTTCAATGAAATTTTGATTTAGTGTTTTTTTTCAACTTGTATATATTGTTAGGGTGAGAGTTACATTCACGCTAGCTCTCTACATTGAAGGCAGAAGTGGAATTTTTAATATAAATATGTTTTTAAAATAAAATAACATTTGTTTGTAAACATATCTTTTTAATAAACATATAGTTACACACTACAATTTTAAAAAGCTAAATAATACTTCATTGTATGGCTGCATCATAATCTATATAGCCAATCTCTTCTTGGACATTCAGAGTAGTTCTTTTGAAAATATTATAATATATAGTGCAATGACAAACTTATATAGAGCTGCATCTTTGGGAATACTCTAACATTGAATTGAGAAAAAGAAGGAAAACTTTATTCAAACTGCTACTGTTGCAACTACAGTGAGAAGAGCACAGTCTAAAAAAAGTATCTGGCCAAGCAAGTGGTGTTCAGGTGTTTTAAAGGAAAAGGGGTGACATTCTGAATCACAGAGAAACCAGAAACTCACAGTCAGCATATCCAGGGCTGTTGTTTTTAGTTCTACTGGTGTTCAGATTGGATGACTAATGGTTTTGTTTAATTTTGCTTTATTACGGCCTCTGAATAGCAATTTATGCTGGTGTTGTATGAAGTATGTTTATTTTCAACAGGGAATACTATGGCCTGTTAGAGTGAGATCAGTTCCCTTTTCTTTCTCCATATCCTCCTTTTGAGTTTCAGTTTGGGACTCAGGATAGGTTTCTCCTGGGGTCTGTTATTGAGGTCTATACTGACAAAGGATTAATGCCCAGAAAAATATATAAAGAACTACATATTAATAAGTAAAAAGCAACTAAATAGAAAAATAAGCAAGAGATATTAACAGGTACTTCACAGAGGAGGAAGTATAAAAAAAGTGGTTCAACCTAATTGTGAATCAGGGAAGTGAAACTTTAATCACAGTGAATAATTTAAATCACTATTTAAAATTGTGATAATACTCAATATGGTATGTGGCATGATAGAAACCATTCTAGAAAATCATTTTGTATTTCTTTAGTATGCATCCTTTATACCCTAGCAGTTCTCTTCCTAGTTATTTAGCTTAGAGAAACTCTTTCTCTTTTATACCAGAATACATATATAAGAATGTTCCCACTGGGCCTATTTGTAATGTCCTTAAACTGTATAAAACTTAGATACCCTTCACTCAGATACCCTAATTTACACTACATGGATAAAATAGATGTGGTATATTTGTATGATGTGAAGATGAATAAATTCAGAGGTAGTTTCAGAAAAAAAATAATCAATATTTAAAAGAAAATATGATTAATCAATATAAATTCCAAAATATGTAAAACAACATATTGGTAAACAAAGCAAATAAAATAAAATGAATGATAACACAATTCAGAATAGTGATTATTCCTGAAGGAGAAGGACAATGAGGTCAGGGAAAGGTACACCAGAGGCAAAGGATAATCTTTTAAATTGGATAGTATAATACATTAAAGATTTTTTATGGTATTGATATTTTTGTGATATTAAGTCTTTCAGTCCATGAACATGAGGTATCTTTTATTTCTTTCAGCAATGTTCTGTTGTTTTCATTGTACCCCTTTGATTAACTCCAAAGTATTTTATTCTTTTTTGTGCTAGTATAAATGGAATTGTTTTCTTAATTTTGTTTTCATATTGTTCATATTAGTGCATATAAATGCAAATAATTTTTGTATGTGACTTTGTATCTTGTACTTTACTGAATTTGTTTATTAGTCTTAATAGTTTCTTTTTTTTGTGTGTGTGGGGGAATCTTTAGGGTTTTCTATATATAAGAACATATTATCTGCAAACAGAAATAATTTTACTTTTTGCTTTCCAATTGGATGCCTTTTATTTTTTTTTCTTCTTAATTGTCCTGACTATGATTTCCAGTACTATGTTGAACAGAAGTAATGGAAGAGGCATCCTCACCTTGTTTCTGATCTTAGAGGAAAACTTTTTGATTTTCACCCTTGAGTATGGTGTTTGCTGTGAGTTTTTCATATATGGCTTTTATTCTGTTGAAGTAGTTTTTTCCTACTCCTTGTTTGTTGAATGTTTTTTTTTTTTTTTAATCATGAAAGGGTGTTGAATTTTGTCAAGTGCTTTTTCTGTACCCATTGAGATTTTCCCCTTCATTCTATTTATGTGTTATGTTACATTGATCAGTTTTTT